ATGTACATGATGTTAGTTTACCTCTGCATACGGCCTTCACCACGGAAGCTGACTTACGATGGTTGAACGAGATCACGTGTAACGTGACCAGACAGATATGGCCGAAGTTGCAGGCGAAAAAATCTAAACATCTCATCCTTCTGAACTATCCATTAGCATAGCGACGGGTATAATAACTCGACACTGTTAAATGGGGTTTCACAGGTTTAGAATGGGCTTTTACTCTAACGATTTCTGCCGCGGCTGTAGGGACGAAGTTGGCCTCAGTGAACATTGGAAATCTCGTTGCTTTTATAAGGCACACGAAATGATTCGATCATTTGAGAAGGTGAAGGCGGTAGCCTCAGCGGTATCACAATGGGCTTATTGACCTAAGTGCGCTGGAGTTTGACCAGCCTTAACTCAACTCAATTCAACTCAACTCAGCTCAACTCCATATCAATACAAATTTAGTTTTTTTTTGTTTTAATTTTATTTTATTTATTTTCTGTTTCTTTTTTTTTTTTAATTTCGTTACAGGCGACGTAATTGCATTTGTACGAATCATTGTCCGAAGACTCCAACCACTTTTTTGCAAACCTTTTTTGGCGATACTTCTTTGCTGTCTACTCTGCCCCCAGTCACTGGAAGAATACGAACTCATGCCTATAATGATAATAAAATTTCGGTATATTTATTTAGCGTATGAATTTACTTTTAGCAAATTTCAAATTTTTCATAGCAGGACCAATTCCCGCGAACGAATAAAAAACTTCGAAGAATCAACACAGTACGGCCCAAGTAACATTTAAAGTGAAATAAAGTCATCCAATAGGCATTTGTACTAAGTTCCTCAACCGAAGAGAATGCTGTCACTAAAAGATGTTTGTTTTGTAAATTTTGAAACACTTTTTATTTGGTTAAAAATTCCCTACTTTACATCTCTTTGAAATATCTGGTTTTTTCCTTACAACATTGGGTGCTCCTTAGAAGGAGTGTATGATCCAACCCTTATCAAACTATCACATTATTAATTAGGCCATACTTTTTGTATACCACAGATTGTGGCTAGTTTCGAATATTGTGAGAGTGGCGTATTGGAGTACATGTATGTATATAAATATATTTCTCGCGTGCATGGAGTAGTCGCGTTGTTTGCCGACTATTTGTACTCTCCTCTTGTGTGTGGGGTTGCAAGTCAAATTATATGACATTGTATGCTTTTTTACACTCATTTATGTAAATTTACATTTAAGTTATCGTTACAACTTAATAAATGCAATTAAATTAATTTACACTCAATTGTTCGAATTTTTTACTGTCACAACCCATCTTGAAAATACACAAATGTATGTAGGTGTGTGTATATTTTACACACGAATAAGCAAACAAATTATTAATTTATGACGTTACTTATATATGTATATATTTGAAGGTTCTGGTTTAAAAAGTGTAAATCAATAAAATTATAAATATTATTTTTAAATGAGCTACTTACATACATGCATACATGTGTACGAGTAAGGAACGCAAGTGAAATGAATAAAACATTTTTAACATTCAATTAACGTGTTAATAATGATAAAACTTTTTATTATACGATTATTGATCACAACTTTTCCCATTTGTATATACAATGTAGATACATACATATTCCAGCGTCTATAACAAGGGAATTTGGTGTTTCTCAGTAAATAAAAGTAACCTTAAATCAGCATTACTGGGAGCGGCGGCTGATAAGTTTGCGACATAAGGTAGTTGGAGAAGACACATCATCTTCTTAATCATAATACTAATTGCGGGACTCATTATTAGTGTAATTAAACATTTTTTTTTATAACGTTCATAGAAAAAATTCTGTTATATTAACTGGATTCCAGGTTGTACCAACAGATTTCACAGTTAAGTCATTTCTAAACCATTTATTTGTTGATTTAACGGCTTGTGTTCTGTTGTTTAAAGTTTTAACAATTCTGTTGTCAAATTAAAAAGCTGCCAGTTAAATTAACTTCAAAAGAATCTCTGTTATTAATTAACAGTCGTGACTGTTACTTTGCCATACATTTCTGTTATTAATAACGAACGCGGCTAATGTTGTACCAGATATTTCTGTTGAAATGATCTTTCAATCTGTTAAAACAACAGCAAAATTTTATTCGATTTTACAGTAATAGCTGTTCAATTGATACAAAAAAATGTTATTTATTTCTCTCCTAAAAAATAAAATTCGCATGAAACAAAAATTTAGCATGATATTTATTTTAATTCAGCTTAAAAGTATTCATTCAATGATAATTAAATTTGCACAACATTTTGCTTCTCAAAATACTCTATACCATCTGACATTCTATTTTATCCAAAAGCAAAAGATTAGTAATGTTTATCAAAATTATTTAACCAGATTGTGGAGGAAACAAACAAATTATTTTGTTTGCCAATTAGGTTTCCATTAAGGGGCACACCTAGTGTGAACTTTCAAAAAATTCGATCTTTTTTTCGAACTTCGGTAGATTAAAAATAACATATTAAGTTTTCAAATCGATATCTCAAATAGTTTTTGAGTTATAGCAATTTAAAGAGCAGCCGCTCGGCAGCTAGAGAGTCTCATTAGCTACGAGTGAAAACGATCATTTTATCTTTAAACGCGTTTTTCTCGAAACAGCATTTTCCCAATTTGCTGCAGTGATTGCTCAAAACCATATGATCCGACTATCGAATTTTTTTTTACATGTTCTACATATAGTTCTCCGTACAATGACCTATCCATGTTTGATCTGATCAAAAAATCGAATTTTGGCAGGCCAAAAACGACCAAAATTTTGAGTAAAATTCGACAATTTTTTTAAAACTCCGCCATATTGTCAATTTTTGATTTTTTTTATCGTAGGTCATTGATAATATTATCTTATCGATAATTTTTTTTTTTGATTTCATCCACGGAGACGGCCGGAATCACTGCAGTAGTGAAGGACTTTTCTTTCGCGCCATTGGAGATCGACTATAACTTAAAAAAATTTAATTTTTTTTTTCAAAAATTTGACTGTATATTCTTGAGACATGTATAAATATATTCTTAAGATTTTGAAATAATTGAGAAAGTATTTTTTTTTAATAAAAATTGCCAAAATTGACCATTTTTTAGGCCATTTCACTGGGTGTGCCCCTTAAAAATATATAACTATATTTTGGGATAAACGGTGAGGAAGATAACAGAAGGATTACAGATAAGCAATGAACGAGCTGGAGAGATTTTACGTGCTCGACAATCAGCGATGATTGCAGGGCTGTAAAAATTTTTATGAAGTTGTACCAAGATGATTTGGATGAAATTTGCAACAGCAGTGTAACAGTTGATGAATGGGAAAGGCCTCCAATATCTTCTCGTGAAATCTCGAATTCAAAGTGGAGAAATCGGCGTCGAAGATTCTGGCTACCATTTTCTGAGATAGCGAGGGAGTATTATTAATGAGCGGCCAGTATTACGGTAATTCGATCAGTCAGGCGCGTGAGGGAATCGTACAGAAGAAACGTCGCGGGGAGTGCTGTTTCTTCAAAACAACGCACCCGTTCACACCTCTCAGATTGCGAGGGATGCCTTGAAAGCTACGATTCCATAATTTTTGGGCTAATAAAATTAATGGAAGAGTAGAGAGCTTCGAAACATGAACATTATGCGTTAGAAAAATATGAACAAAACATTAGTTAGTCGACTGTTTTATTGAAATGTATAAGGTCAAGTAAAAGGCGATGCATTATTTTTGCATTAAATGGATTTAGTGATCTGTATCCCGTATTCAATAAGTGAGATTGGATTCCGTTTGATGGCGTTAGAGTAAAGACACTTCATACTAAAAAAGATATTGAATGTTGGGTATTTATTGCACAGTTTTTCTTCGATAAAAACAAAAGTCAGGCGGGTGGAAATGTGAACAGTATTTATGGTTCTGTTACTGTAGCCGACAATTAAACGTAAATCGCCCAGTGTGACCGTCATGATTGCTCAAGAACAGTTTAGAACGACTTATAAAATGCTGGTTACACAAAGACGCTCCACGTATGGTGCCACATGAGTTAGCGAGGAAAACTCAAATTGACCGAATTTCTATTTGAGATTCGCGGTTAAATCGTAACGAAATCGATCAATTTGTGAAGAAGATAGCAGCTTCAAATGAGAACGGTCGTGGTCGGCGAAAGTTTTATTGCTTGTTTGATGAATTGGCAAGGAATCTTGCATTAAAAGCTGTTTTATTACAACCAATTTCCTAAATTTTACCTGCACTATCACCAATTGGACCATCTGAAGGAAACAATCGCCCAGAAACCCTCAGATTCGGCAAGCGGGAGGGAATTTGTGTTTCATCAGAATAACGCAAGACCATACAGTTTTACATCGATAGTGACTCGCCAGAAGCTCAGAGAGCTTGGTTGGGAGTATCTCATGTATTTACCTTATGTTCCTGTCTATGGCGAGAGATTTGGCTGGTGAAGGATTGACTTCAATAGAAGCATGTGAAAGTCGATTGCCCCCTATTTTTTTGCCAATAGGGACAAATTTTTCTATGAGATGGATTTAAGGTACTACTTTCAAAAAGGAACAAAGTTCGTAAGTCGTTCGTATTTGCAAAAATCGGATAATTCTAACTCTTTACTTGACCTGACATATAAAATGGGGTTTATTGTAAGTTTGTGGTTAAGGACCATAGCAGGACATATACATACATAAAATATATGTGGTAATTTTCATAAATCATTACACTTAAAATTACTTTACCATACTCGTATTATCTCCTTTAATTCAACATGGTATAAAAGCTTCCATTCCGCTGGAAAAACCAGATTGATAAGCACCTGGCTGAGCTTGGTATCCCTAAACTGCGAAAACAAGAAATTAATGGTAATAAAATTAATAAAAATAAGATCCACAAATTTAACATGTCAGTACAGAAAGCTTCTCTAGAGATTTCGCGAGAAGATATTGGCTTTGTAACAAAAACCTAAGACCCCACGAACTTGCAAATTTATTATTATTTTACAAAATTTATTATTATTTTACAAAAAATGGCTTATGCAAAAGTATGCAATTATTAAAATCCAAAAACTTCTCCGAGCTTATCAAGTTTCTTCTTGTCTTCGTTTGTTTCCTTCTTAAGCTCTTCGTGCCACTGCATTAATTTGGCTGACTTTGGTTTTTGGTTTGGTTTTTCCTCCGAAGATACATCTTTGAAATAATCTTCAATTTCATTTTCGAATTTCTCAACTAAGTCCTCGACCTTCTGCTGGAAATCGTTCTCGAATTGGTTGTAGCCATTATTTTCTAGAGCTGTCTTCAATGTGAGCTTGAGCTTGGAATCCTCCTGCATATTGTCGTAGTCAGTCAACATCTCGGTGAAAGTAATCATATTATCGAATAATTGCAAAATACTTTCTTCATCGTCTTGAAGTTTAAACTGTGCAGCCTCCGTAGCTACCCTTGACATGCGTGTGATGTTGGCTTGCAATAATTCATCTTTGCCTGGTATTGCCTTTAGTTCAGTTACGGCATTATTTACCACCACGCTACCGCGCTCAAGCACCCACTTTGCAAGTTTGCCTAATTCACCAATAATAAAAAGAACAATGGGAGTTTGTGCGTCACTGTCTTCTTCCATTGAAGTCTCACCGGAGAGCTGAGGATTGTCCTGCACTTTGGCAGCAGCAGCGGTGGTTCGAAGTTTTCCAACAGGTAAGCCGTTGGCCAACTATGAAATTTAATATATATGGAATTAAAATGCAAATATTATTTAGGTGCATAACATCCTTACTTGCACTAGAAGCAAACAGCTTATAGCAACAGCAGCTAATGTCCTCATTTTTAGCTTCAGCTCAAAAATTTTAATTTAGATAAAGTACTGTCTCTGGCACGTAATGCCACACTGAACTGCAACCAAAGGCTAAATCTGTTTTATAGAGATTTTTGCTTAAAGTGTTTCGATCAATACGTATGAAAACATATATACAGTCAATGAATTAATAAGACTCTCTTCTCCGCCTAATGATAACTAATTGCTGTATATAGATAAAACGGTATATTATGTATAAAGATATGTTTTTTGTTAATTGTTAATGTTGATGAGTTGCAACAATTACAATTTTAAATATTCATCAGGGATGTTAAATAGCAGAAGTTAGAATGCTAATATTCCCACAAAATGTGTTAAAACAGAGATGCTCAACTAACAAAACGATGCCATTACGTTTTTTAATATTAAACGTTTTATTAACGAAATGATTTCGTTTCGTTTCGGCGCTGTGCTATCGAAAGGAAATGATACTGCAGCCGAACAAACTCATCGTTAATTAACATGGCTGCTGTTATCATTTCCACTTCGATTTTAACATAAACATTATCTGTTAACGATTTAGCATTATTCTGTTAAGGTTTTAACATTAACGAGAGCATTAACATTATCTATTAACGACTTAGCATAAAATATGGCATTTCGCTTTGGGTAAAAATGAAATAAAAGTTATTTTCATAGCTGATTTAAAGGTAAATCTCCCAAGTATTTTAGCCGAATTGATTGAACTTTTTTTTAAGGAGACCCTCACCTGATATTGGGCAAAAATCAGGCAGAGATTGTGTTTTTTTTTTTTGTGGGATAAATAAAGGACGTAAGTACTTCCGGTTTTAACTAAATAATTTACTTATTATTAGAGATCTCAAAACGGCAAAAATAGTCGAAATTCAAAATGATGCTAGAAATGGCGCTTTTTGATGGCCTCTGCGCGAAAAGTATGGTCCAAGAAGTTCAAGTCTACAGCCTCTTGTAGTAGACAGAAATCCAAAATCGTTGTCACTACTTGAAGATAATGAAATTTTCGACGTGCTGAACCTCAATTGAAATATTTAGGATAAATTTATTGCACATTGTTTGTTGCAATTATAAAGTTAAAATTTTTGCTACTTTTTTCACTTCAATTTCGTTAAAAAAATATAAATAATTAATTATTAATGCCAATCTTAGGTTCAAGACGTACAAAAAACTATGTAATTTGAAACAGTTGTTGGATAAAAGAAATCAGATGGAAAGATTAAGCCCGAGGCTTGAAGTCCGATTGGAAAACATGGCTTCGAGAAAAATGCGTTCGAAGTTTTTTGAAAGCTCTCGCAGGTGAGGCAGGTGTGTTCGAGGAGCTGCCATTTGAAAAATATTCATCATATTGCGAAATCTCTTTAAACACATACTGCACGTATATATGACTGCATTTTCAATTTTGATAATAAAAATTAAACTGTTGTTGCACAAAAGGAAGTAAAAATTGTATTCATACGGCAATAAGAAGCAAAGAAAAACATACCCAGATATAGGGTGAATCCTTATTTGCATGTAAGGAGCAATAAAATGTGTTTTACTAGAGTGTAAGTAAGAATTGTAATCTGGCTGTGGTTTCAGAGGTTTGAGCGTTCAAAAAAAAAAACCGAGCTCTTTTTATTTATTACGTACATAATAATAGATGTGCGTGCATTTATTTGTTCATTTTCACAGCTTGAAAATCTCATTCAGAATCCATCCATGTTTTTCGAAAACTTCCATGAGAGTAGTGAAACATTTTATGAATTTTTATACTATTTTGGAGTCATATTTATTGCAAAAAATAAATGAATACTCCTCCTATTCAAAAATTAGCAATAGTTATTGTGTTCTTGTAGATATTTCACTTCTGGAGATATCCAACAGCTCATATCGTCAGCTTATAGGATAATAAACATTTTGGTGCAATTACAGATACTGTCTCTGATCTAATCTGCAAAATATTACAGCCAGAATTATCAACGAAGGACCACACAGTTTTACTAAGCTACCCAAAAGAGTTTGATGAGAAGCAGAATTTTCTAAACTGTGTTGGAGCTATTAATCGGAAACATGTAGCAATCAAGTCACCAGCAAATAGTGACAGTATTTTTTTATAATTTTTTCTCTTGGTTCAATATTATTACAATTTCTCAAAAAAAAAAAAAAAAAAAAAAAAAGAATAACTTCAATTTTTGAATACTTTTAAATTTTACTAATATAACGAAATATCACAATTACGCAGCGTAATAAGTGCCCATACATTTCTTTCGCCAGCCGCATAGTTTATAGAATACAAGGCTACCACAACCGTTAACGTCATCGAACCAACTCTGTCATATATACAGTGGACGGTGCTTCACATTTATATAATAAAAATAAATAAGTTCTTTTTTTAAATTTTACATACAGAAGAAAACATGAATCATACAATTTTGTGTTTTTGCACTTACGTACTCAAGACGCCGGATTCACAGGCAATTTTTTACTAAAAAAAGCCACAAAATTAGCAAACAACAAGCTACGGTGCAAGGTGTGGGCTGTTTTGATCAAACCAGGGCTCAGGTGGCCGAAGAGCACCAAATGTGAATAAGAGCTTTATAATTTTTTGTAAGCAATACTTCATTCTTCTATATAATATAGCTGAACAACCGTTGAGTTCAAGTTATCATAAAAAAAACTGTATCATTAAATTTATAAAATGGGGGATAACGAATGTACAACAAAACATATTAATTTTTCAGAACAAATTATTATAAATCACATTTTTTTTAATTTTTGTAATTACATATTTCCGAAAGCTTTTTAGCAGACAAAGAAAACGTGTGAAATTCAGTTTCTGTATCAAATTTTTAAAAACACTGCCTTTTTCTTGAGGACTTTGATAATTCTTCACGTTTTTGACATTATTTACTCATGCCATTCGTATTACATTCGTAATACATCAATCAGAGTTGCTAGCTATAGAAAATTTTTGTTAAAACATATATTAATTTAGATAATTTGATTATTTTAAAAGAATTTGTTCGGCTATTGGACTATTCAAAATCTTTTAATTGTAACTGTTATTAATTAAAAAATAAATGCCGTGCATGGTTTTGGGGACTTAAAGCCAAAATGTTACGCTGTTTATTGAATGCAATTTTTTTTTTAAATTTTCGGCAAACCAAAAATTGAACCAACTTCGTCATTAAACATATGATTTTCATCTTGTCGTAACTTTCTCCCCAAAAACCTTGATCCACACAATGCAAAATGATTTCCAAAGAAATGTTATGCTATTAACATACAATCCACTGCAAACTAACATTACTTTCCATCAGCATAATATGAAAAGTGATTCTGAGTAGAAATAATTACGCCGCTGTTACTCTGTTTTTTTTTTTTTTGTATGAAGTTTTTTCGTTTCGTCATGTTAATTATTATCAGTATATACTTTTGTTTGGTGAAAATTAATCCTTTTTTTTTATTTTTATTAGTATTAATTTAACATATAAGATAAGCAAATGAATTGAAGTGAAAGTAATAGATAGTTTGTCCCTCGGTCTGGCATTTTTTTTTTTCGGAATTAAAAATATCATAAGGTATCATAAGTGCTCAAAAAAAAGTGTTAAAGTTGAACTATCTTGCTGTGTGAATACTTTAGCTCATCACTGTACATATATTTTTTATAATGTATTTACACAAATACAAGAATTAGTTTACACAAATACACAATGAATGTATTTACACAAATACAAAAATTAGATATATACTTCCCGCTTTATTGTCCATAGGCTAGTTCTTGAATAATCAATGTTTAATGATATGCGTATTTAGAATTAATTTACTCGTTACGTCCACTGAGCATTTTTTAATTTTTTTTGTATCAAAATAAAAATATTGCATATTATCAAATTCGTTTTATACTTATAATTTCCACTTATTACCTTTGTATATGTTTTTCTGTTTTGCTACAACAGATGAAAACAGAGTTGGAACTCAAAGTTTTTCACCAGCATGAGAATTATTGGAAGCTTTCAAATCATTTTTTAGTTATGTTACGTCGAAGTTTGAAGGTTAACAGTGCATGCTGTGTAAAGATTGTCATTGGGGTGAATCCTGACTTATATTACGTGGTACCCATTACTCTCCAAATATTATATATATGCATATTTAGCTGTCTTCGATTCGCCAACAGCGAGTTGGATTGAACACAAGGGAGTATGTCTATACTTCAATTAAACCGATGTAACATTTTATCTAGAATTTTGCTAAGTTTTGTTTACAGATTTTATATCAGTTTAACTATTTCGATGTGAACATTCCCACGTTAGAGGTTATCAAGCAATAAAGTAAACAACAAATAAATTCAAACAGGAATTCGATATTTTTCCGTTTTTTTTTTGAACTCTAATTTCTTTTTACAGAAAGAGATTTGGACGCAGTTGGAAACAAAAGAATTATTATTGGATGAGTGCATAAGTTCGTGCCCGATTTCAAGTGCTAAATTAAAATTGAAATTTTTTGAAGAAAGCGCTTTTATTAATCAATTATGTATTCCCCATCGGCAATCCACTCCCAACGTTCAACCAATTTACGGATGCAGAAATTGCGCGGTTTGTCGTTGAAAAAGGTGTCAGGGTGGTTTTTGACGTCTTCCACATTTTTAAATTTTTTTCCATTCAAATTGTTCTGCAGCGATCGAGACAAATAATAATCAGAAGGTGCAATGTTGGGTGAATATGGGGAATGCGGCATGATTTCCCAATTCATCTCCTTCAGTTTGGCCAGGGTCGGTTTTGCAACATGTGGCATGGCGTTGTCATGATGGAAAAGAACTCCTTTGCGATTGGCCAAAATCGGACGTTTTTCATCAATTGCTTTCTTCAATTCGACCAATTGCTGACAATACTTGTTGGCAGTGATCGTTTCTCCAGCTGGCAAGAGTTCAAAATAGATCACGCCTTGGATATCCCACCAAATGCACAGCAGTACCTTCATCGGATGCAATCCACCTTTCGACATCGGTTCCGCCCCTCCGTGTGCCTGTTTCCATATTCTTTTGCATTGAACATTGTTGTGCAGGATACATTTTTCATCACCAGTCACGAGCCGATCCAAAAAAGGTTCGTT